AGGGAGGCAGGAGTGGGTGAGGAGCCTCGGAATGCTCCCTCTCTCTCTTTCGGTCGAAGAGGGGTCACGCACTCACCTAGCCTAGAGGCATGGCTTCCAAGCGAGGGGTGAGGAGACCTCTAAGCTGGCTGGGGTCCCTGGGGTCAGGCGACCTTGTCCCAGGGCACTGGGTGGGGGCACAGAGCAGCTACAGCAGAAAGAACCGAACCTCCCTCCTTACTCCTGGCTGCAGGGGTTGGCCAGGGAGGGAGTTAACTCCTCAGCCCCTAGAGGGAAGAAGCCTTTCTTCTCCCACCAGGGAGTGTCTCCAGGACTCCTGCCCCCTTGTCTGAAAGTCTTGTCCCTGGGGGGCTTCCATCTTCTCCTCTTAGAACACCAGTCTTTTTGCCCCAGCTTCCAGAAGATTCTTCCCCAGGGGGGCCACCCGTGGCCTGCTCTCTCCTAGAGGACCCTGTTTGGCCTCTGGCTGATGGCAGAGAAGGGAAACCCGACCAGACCAGCTTCACCTTGTAGGGTTTGCTCAGGGTTTGGAGCCAGGCCTACCTTGGGCCTTCTGCCTGCCTTCCAGGGGGATTTCTGGTGCTGGAAATTCCCAGGGAAAGGCCTGGAGTCTGAGCAGAGCTATGGACCAGAGATGGAGGACATACTGAGAAGGGTCCTGAGATACCCCTTCCTCCTGTCGCTGCCCCTACTGGACTGACATTCATTCATTATCAAGTATTTGTTGAAGGGCAGCTGTATGCCAGGCACAGCAAGGGGGACAGAGAGCCAGAAGAAGGAAGGTAAAGGATGACACGTGTTGGCTGGGGCATGGTTGGGAGTGTCCCCGCTTCTAGAACAACGGAGAAGCTCTCTGCTCAGTTCCCCAAGGCTGACCTGTGGATTTACACCTTGGAAAGAGACAGAGACCAGGGGGAGACAAATATCTCCCCAGCGTGGCTCCCCGCCGCCGTCCCCTCCAATGACACAGTCTCTTAGAGACCTCGTGTCTTATTCCTGATGGGACCCACGTGGGTGAAAGAGGATCCTTCTTCCCACTTTCCAGAGGGCAGGCCTGAGGAGCCAGTCTCTCAAATTCCTCCACAGGTCACTCCAGCTTCTCCAAGCACGGGGAGGCCCCCTTTCTGGACTTGGAGGGTCTTTCTGGTGGCACTGCTGCCCTCTCCTCCCTGCCCCCATCCCCTTCCAGGGGGAGGGAAATGGAGATGAGCTGGCAGGGCCAGGCTAGACCACCCTCCGCTCCCCTCTGTAGGTGACATTGAGGGTGCGGCACCTTCTGCTGCTTTTGAGTCAGGACTTCGCTTGCCTGAGATAGGGTGTCTGGGACATCCTAGGCATGGGACAGTGTACCAGCGTGGCCAGAGGCAGCCTGAGCTGGCGAGTGGGGCAAGGAGGGATGGACTTTTCTCTTGGTGTGAGGTGGCCCTGATGTCCTGTCTGTGTGCTGTGGCGGCACTGCTTCCTTTGGGTGTCTGTCACTGGTGGGTGTCTGGGTGCACAGGTGGCTACTCAGGCCTCCTGAGCTGTGTTCCTGGGGCTCTGGGGGTGCCTGCAGAGAGTGGGGTGAATAGGCCTCCGTGCTTCGTGTGGGAGCAAGTCCGGGTCCCGTGGAGGCTGCGTGAGTGTGTATGATTAGAGGGTGGGCTGTACCCAAAGAGCTGTCCCCGAGTTTCTGGCTCTGGCAGAAGCACTAGGGCTTCTCCCCTGGGGTGATGCCCGAGTTCCTCTCTGGGAGTCTTCACTGCTCTGTGCTGTCTCTAAGGATGCTCCGGAGAGTCGGGGCCCGGCTCTGGGACTAGCCAGCAGGTTGTGGGGAGCTGGTGGGCCCTGTGTGTACCGCCTGTGACTGGTGTAACGGTGGTGGTTGAAGGGCGAGAGGCCTGCTCTTCAGGGCTGTCCATCACTGCCGCATCTGCAGACATGACTCTCATCAGAAACCTTCCCAAGCCCTCAGCCTGGCTCTGCCTGCCCCTCTGTGTCCACTCCCTTGGCCACCCCTCCCCTGCCTGACGCTACAGACAGCTGTAGCCAGACCTCCTGCTCCAGCCCCTTCGAGCTCCTCCCCTGGGCCCAGGGGAGTCATGTGTGGCCATAGATTGTCCCAGGCACTGGCTGGGCACTGGTTTTGCTGCCCCTCCTTCCTCTGCCTGTCATGTGATTATTGTTTTCATCTCTTGGAGCCAGTGTCATTGGGGGGCAGGGACTTTGGTGCAGATCGGAACCGTTCTAGCAAGTGAACATTTTCACCCCAGTTCTCGACCTGTGTCTGTCTCCCTACCCCACCTGCGCCCCTGCCCTCAGTCCAGCAGTTGGCCAAAGGCAAAGCCTCCTTCCCAGTGGTGCCCTTCAATTTAACCCTTAGCCAAGGCTTCCCTGCTATCTAAGCACTCAGGTGGCATAAAACACCCAGCATGCGGTCCTTCTCCTTTTCAGGGACTTCAGGGTCCTCCCCTCTGTCAGGGGCACTGGGGCCTGAGGAACCTTGTCTGTTTGTGCCAGACACCACAGGGCCACACCATCTGCTGCCTCTCTCTTCTTGCTGAGGCTGGCACCAGTCAGCAGGGTGCCCCCTGCCTTGCCAAGAACCAACCCAGCCTGAGGGCTATACCCGCCTTGGCCATCTGGATAGGCTGCAGGTCTCCAGGGAAGTCAGGGAGACCCCAGGTTACTGTGAATGAGGAGAAGTCTGAGCCCCGCACCAGATTGAGGGCTCTGAGACCCTGCCTCTTTCCCTCCCTCAGCCCAGGTACCCAGGCTCCTGACTCCCTTTGCCACACCCAGGGCCCCCGACCCACTGCAACATGCCAACACCTGTCTGCCTTTCTCTGTGATCCAGGCTGACCATCTTTGGAGACCTCCCTGGGGGCCATTTCAGGTCCCACTCTGCCCCAAGGCTTTCATCATCATCCGGCCCCGGCCCCGCTTTGTGGCCGATCCGGTCATTTCCCAGCAGACTCTGCTGCCTACCTCTGCACACTCACCCATGCTGTTCTCCCTGCTCCACATTCCTTCCCTCCAAGTCTCTAGCCTCCTCATCTTTTAAGACCTGGTTCAGATGCCCCCCTCCCCTCTCTCCTCTCCTACCTCCCCTTCACAAAGTGTTCCTGGGAGGTCACAACCAGGTGCCATTGCCCTGGCTTCCCTAAATGATGGTCATCTGTGCCCTTCCCCCCCACCTGTGAGCGCTCTGAGGGGCTTGTAACCATCTGGAATGGTACTCCCCGCTCTACCAGCAGGCCAGGGTCTGTTCAGGGCCCTCTGGGATACACCGAGATGCTCTGGGGCTCAGTGGAGGACCAGCTATACCAGGGATTACTTCTTCCTGCTCCCGGGAGGGTGGAGGGCTTATGCCCCAGGGATCCACCCCTGCCCCTCCTCTGCACGCCCAGTCCCTGCATAACTGTCTCTTCTCTTATTTCCATCAGCAGCCCAACTACTGGAGTTTCAAGGTCAGTGTGATGCTTCTGCTCGGTGACCACTGCATGTGCTCTGTCTCCCTCCACCCTGCTTCTCCCCGCACAGGCTTGGTGCAGGGGAGGGTCACTGACACCTTCCAGCGGTGGGGTTGGGGGTTGCTTGGGGCTGCAGACTGTGGCTGCCATGCTGGGAGAGACTGGGTTTGCCTGCTGGGGTCTTGTGGCTCCACGGTGTGAGTGTGGGCCTCTGGGCTTCGAAGTTGGGAACAAGAGAGACTACCTGACATGTCCCCCATCTGTAGGGCGGGATGGCACTGAGATGGATGCCTGGATCCCAGGACCTCATGGCTTCTGTTTTGTTTTGTTGTTATTTTTTCCTCCCTACGGATGAGGCTGGCTAGGGAAGCTAATAGGTTACACTTCAGACTAGAAATGTTTAGGACACAGCTGTTCAGTGAGGACAGCTTCTTCTCTGTCATACCTGCCAGGAAGCCTGGCTCTCAGTTACTTGGCCTCTGCTCTGAGGGGGCAATGTTACATAACTCTTGTAGGACTGCCCAATAAATGCCCAACGGGCATGCTACTCTGCCATAAAGCCTCCATCTGAAGGCTTGCAGCTGCAGTCCCAGAGTCAGCAAACCCAGCTCCCCCCATGAAAGGCACAGAGGCACCAACCTCCTGCCCGGGCGCACAGCTTTGTTTGCTCTGTGGGCTGGGCAGTGCACCACTCTGCCTCGTGCTATGGCTCCTGGTCTTGCTGCTGCTGCACTTCCCCCGGTGTCATGGCTGTCTCCCGGGGGGGCAGCAGTCTCCCGGGTACAGCTGTCTCCCAGGTGCAGGTTCAATGTTCAGGGATCCTGGGGTCCAAAGGATGTGCTCCACTCCTGGCTCTGCTCTCTTGCTGGTAATGAGACTCTCTCAGTTCCCCATAGGACCTCGTTGAGGGTGCTCTTCTATGAACTTGGATCACTCACCCAGGGAGGCCAAGTGGCTACGTTGGGTCCCTTATGCCATTCTCATGCCCCACTGTTAGGGGGCAGGGGCTAGTCAGCAGCCCCTAGGCAGTCAGTGCTCACAAGAGATCAGGACCCTGCACCCCAGGACCTGAGATACCTGTTGCCTAAGTGGAGAGCTGAGCACAGGGTTGGGAGTCTGTCTGCCTCTTCTGGATTATTGGGACTCTCCAGAGATGCACCCTTGGCCCCTCCTCCTTCCTCCCTGACAGCCAGGCCATAAGCTGAGTGAGCCAACTTAGATTGCTGCTCACGTCCTGAGGTCTTCTGGCCCCTCAGCCCCCAGGCGTGGCAGGCAGGGCATCCTCTTGTTCTTGCCTTGTTTCTATACAAGTGTTCTCCCAGTACCCTGGTACCGGGCACTCATGGAGGCAGAGGGCGCCGAGTTAAGCATGGCCTTCTTGGAGAGGGCCCGACAGAGCAGGGCTGAATGCTTCAGAGCCAGGCTGCCTGGTGGTGAACTCCATGTTGCTATGAGCTAGTATAGTGACCTAGGACAAGGCCTCTTCCTCCCCTGTAGAATGGGCAGGGGCAACAGTGCCTGCCTGGGACCACCTCCGTTCCTCCACCAGTCTAGTTGATTCGGACTCAGGGCAGCTCCTGGTGTGTCAGGTGGAACTGTACCGGGGAGGGGTGTGGAGGACTGATGTTTTTTCCAGCTGAGCCTTTTTGCTGAGGTGGACTGGAACCTCCAACCTTTTAGTTCACAGCTGAATGGCTGCATTCCCACCCCATGACTCCAGCTGCATCATAGGGTTGCAAAAAAACCCCTGCCAGTTTCTGGCAGGTTAACTCTGCCTTGGGGTGACCACCGTTTGGTCAGAATAGAACTGTGCTCTATGCCCTGGTTGGCATAGTGGGTTAAACATTGGGCTGCTAACCTCCAGGTTGACAGTTCAAAACTACCAGCTGCTCTGCGGGAGAAAAACCAGGCTTTCTAGTTCCATCCAGATTTACAGTCTTGGAAACCCAGAGGCACAGTTCTGCCGTGTCCTGTAGGGTCGCTGTGAGCGGGCGTGGACTCATTCATGGCTGTGGCTGTGCTGGGTCCTTTGGAAGTGGACTATCAGCCCCGAGAATGAGACCGGCACGGCCTCAGTGCATTGTCTGGCTCATCTCACTGGCTTTTAGAATCAGGAACTCTGATTTGAGTCCCAAATCTAGGGACCAGAGTCACTCTGGAAACTGCTCAGAAATCTTGACTCCCCGGGCCTACCTGAACCCCTTGAGATTCTGTTGCAGTGAATGTGGGGCCTTGGAAAGAGTGCTTTTTAACAAGCTCTGGAGTGATTCTGCCTATCTGTGGACAGCCTCTGGGACCTTTAGGTCCTGGTCTGACCACCCCACTTGAGGTTCCTTGGGCCTGATTTCTGCCCAAGTGTCATCAGCTCCTCCTGGAGCCACTCTGGCGACCCGTATTCACTACCCCTCCTGGGGACCCCTGTCTTATCTTGGGAGAAGAACTTTATTTGAATGACAGTTTTGTTCTCTTGCCCTCTCCTTTGCGGGAAGTCCTTCTGGCTGTCTCACTTTCCTCTGTCCTGTTGTTTCAGCACAGGGATGGAGGGAGTGCTAGAGTTTTCTCAAGAGGGTTTCTCAGAAAGGCCCCCTGGGGTTAGGATAGAGCCAGGAATGGATGGAGCCCTGAGGGTGGTCATCTCTTTACCAAAGGTCCCCTGGGCAGGGTCCTTGTTACATTCTCAGCATCCCTAGGACTTCGTGGCCCTGGCATTCTGGTCTCAATCCTGTCTTTTTACTGGCACCTCAGGCCCTGTGGTCACTCCTTTCTTGTCATCCCTGCTAGCTGCCTCAGGCTGCCTGAATTCTGTAGCCCCTCATCCATGCCAGCCTGGCAACTACTGACCTTTCGGTTGCCTGGCAACTGCATTACCACCAGACCACACTGCTCTGGAGCACTCAGCCCTTCAGCCTGAGTTGAGCTGTGGGTCCAGGGTCTTGGCTCAAACATCCCCCCAGGTGAGCCTTATTGCTAAGTGGTCTCTTATGTGCCCAGTTACAGGCCCAGCCACTGCTCAAGAAATTGTACTTGAGGTGGGAAGCCTGCTTGACATCCCCAGATCTGACCTTCCGTGTCCCCAAACCCTCAAGGCCACCCTGGGACAGCTGGGCACAGTGCCCACTGGAAGATGCATCCTCTTTGTGAGAGTGCTAATCCGATTGGAATGTTAAACCGAATTAATATGAAATGGAGATTAATTAGGGGTTAATCAGGGTTTGGGGAAGAAGGAAGCTGGAGGGAATAAATGATTCTTTTTTAGAAATACTTTTAATGACTTTAAAAAGTAGAAAAGGAATATATTCTGACTGCACGAAATTTACACAGTAGAGAAACGTATAAAGTGAAAAAGAGGAAGCCCCCTCCCAAGTCGGAGATCGTCATTGTTAATGGTTTGGAGTGCGATATTGTTCAAAACAGACTATTTTACAGAAAAATACAACCTGGAAATCTTTTTTGTTGTTCTCCATGACGTGTGTCTGTGTCTGTCTGGACATCATCCCGTGGAGGTCTAATGCATTATCTTTCTCCCTTTAATGGATGGGTTTCTGTATAGCAATCCTTTTGGGGGTTGGGAGGCTGGTGCAGAATGTCTGGGCCTGTGACCCTGAGTGACAGCCCACTTTCAGCCCAGATGGGGTTTTAAAGCTCTGTTGAAATGATGGGGGTCTCTGCCGCCTCTCAAGGAGAGAGCAGTTGGGCAGTTGGAGCAGGGACCGGTCACTGGGTGACACACGTCCCTGACCCCTGATGGATCATTTGCAGCTGTTTCTGCTGGGTCTTGGAACCTGGGAGCAGGTCCCAGGGCCAGGCCGGCCTGCTGTGTGGCGGTGTGTGCCTTGCAGGGAGCGCTGAGGCCTGGCATGTGTGTCCATGTACTCCTGTGTGCCACAGTGGTTTAGCCTGTGCACCGTGTGTGATAGGCAGTTAGTCTACATGTGGGAACCAGTGGCTTCGGAGGGTTTGGGGTGAAGTCCAGGATGTTCTTGGTGACCACCTCCTCAGAGCCTGGATTCTGGGGTCTCCGGCCTTCCTTGTTTTCTCCTGGGTCCTGTTCTGCCCCTCACCCCCAGCCCCACTTCTCTGAATTCCACTAAGAATAAATTCACCGCTCACAAACCCGCAGCTTAATTAATGTCTGGAACTAATGCCCCAATTTGCTCAACGATTCTGCTGCTCACCTCGGTGACAAATTCCTGTTGTTGTTCTTTGGAAGCTTAAAATAGCAGGCGTGCCCATGGCTCCCGCTCAGCTGGTTTCTTGTCTGGCTTCCCAGGGTGCTCAAGGCCTTTGCCCACTCCTTAGGCGCTGGATGTCCTTGGGGGCGCCAAGGCCCGGGAGGTTGGGGAAAGCTCCCGTGGCCGCATAGCGAGCCTGGAACCCAGGAGAGACCTTCCCGCTACTGGGTGTGTGTCAGTGGCTGAGGGGGGCTGTGCCCGGGGCGAAGGGGGCTCACCCTGGGTCGGTCCTCTCGGCCTGCTCTGCCCCTCCAGACCCGTAGCTCACGCCACACGCAGGGGGCCCAGCCGGGGCTGGCAGACCAGGCGGCCAAGCTGTCGTACGCCTCGGCTGAGTCGCTGGAGACCATGTCGGAGGCCGAGCTGCCCCTGGGTTTCAGCAGGATGAACCGCTTCCGCCAGAGCCTGCCCCTCTCACGCTCCGCCAGCCAGAC